AGCCCGACAGCTCGTCGCCGGCGCGGCAGCCGCCCTCGCGGGCGGCCGCTCGCCAAACACAAGCGGGGTCAGCCGCCGCCGCGCCGCCCGCGGCCGGGGCCCTTCGGGGCAATCCGACAGCAAGCCCCGCGGGCGCCGCAAGGGAGGCGAGCCCGCCCCCGCCAGCCACGATGCGCCCGCAGGTTGGTGAGCAGGCCGAGGTTGCCCGCGTTCTGGGCACGCGCCCTGCGCCCCGTCAGCGCGATCTGCTCCGCCTGCACCGCGAGCTGCCTGATATCCGCGTCGGTCGGCCCCGCCCTGAAACTGAACACCTGGTTCGCCAGGGTGCCCGGCGGCGAATGACCGCAGTGGCCGAACCTCGCACTGCGACGACGCACAGGTCGCCGACGGCGGTGTAGATGACGCGATCAGCCTCTGATGACGCCACCCGACCCAGATTCAAGTGCTGGTGCCAGACCACTTCGCCGGCGAAGAAAAAGCACACTCACCAGGTCGTCGCGACTGCCGCCATCTTCAACCTCAGCAGCCACTCGGACGCGAGGACGGCCGTCGCGACGCAGGGCAGCACAGCAACAAGCCACACACGCCGCGGTGGCGATGAAACCCAAGACCCCGCCCAGCAGGCCAGCCGCGAACGGCCTGATATTGCCGAAAACGTCGTGGGCGACGGTCGCGGGGGCCTCAGCCGCGTCGGCCTGCGGCGCCGCAGGCCCTGCCGGCGGCTCGGACACCGCGCGGCGCACGCCAAGCAGGCGGGCGCCTGGCAAGGGGGGCGGCGCGGGGCACGCCAGTGGCGCCGACTCCGCGCCCGGCGGGATCGCGGGGCAGTGCAGGGAGCACCCAGGCGGGCCGCGGGCGTCCCACATTCCAGGGAGCAGGTAATCCACGGGGAGCACGATGCGCCTGCGGCCACCTGGGGAGCTACGGGACTGCTCCCGTGAGCGCGTGGCCAGTCAGCAAATTTCTCCCACATACTCAAGACTTGAGCGGCCGAAACGGCGGCGGACCCAGCTGAGCATCGGAAGCCAGCGAAATCACAACACTTACTGAATGTGCACCCGAACTCCTTGCACGTTAGCTGGTGAACTATGTTTGTGAATATAGAGGTGTGGGAGCGACTCCGCGGAAACGACGGGCGCGACAACGACGACGAAGACGACGACGACGACAGCGACGACTTCAGTGACGCCATCCTCGTCTGGGAGAGGCACAGAAGAACAGCGAGGGAGCATCTGACCACCAAACAAAAGGCTGAGCGAATATGAATGTGAGTGGTATGCAAGTTACTATGAGCGTGAGTGAGTCCATTTGTGCTTCAATTTGAGTGTGATGGCGTCCAGGTATGAGAGAATGTAAGCTCGAGTGGGTTTGAGTATGAGCGATCCGAATGTGAGTGAATATGAGTGCGAACGTGTCTGAGTCTGGACAGGTTTGGGTGTGAAAAGGTATGGGTATCAACATGGTGAGTATGCATCCTGATATGAGCGAGTCGGAATGTAATGAGTAGGACGATGAGTATGATTCTGAGTATGTAAATGATGAGTACGAGTACGAACATGATGAATCCGAGTATGGTTACTAATACGATGAGCATCAAGACTAGGATCCGCTGAAGCAGACTCCACACGTGAAACGCATAACAATAACTCGAGCACACAAGATCCAAGTGTGAAACAAAAAGCGATACAAATTCGTGCGTCCATGGAGGAAAAGGCTGTTGCATTTTATGACGGCACAAACCCCATTGTGTTTTGAAGGGAGAGATGTGCATCAGCATTTGTGTGCCACTGTTTGCTGCGCTTGTTGTTGCGCGTGTTCTGAATGTGTGTGTTGTGTTGCTTTGTGCCGCTGCTGGTTCTCTATAAGTCGGTGAAAGACCTGTTTTTTGTTTCAATCAGGGGAGCACAGCTATGATGACTATGATGCGTATGGGTCGAAGGGGCACAAGTCCAAAACAAATCTGGGGGCAGAAACAGGCAAACCGCCTGAGACATCCGACCGATCTGGCCGCGCTGCCTCGCCTGAGACATCCTCACAATCTGCTCCGAATGCGGAAGAGCCCAGGGCGCCGAAACAGGCAAACCGCCTGAGACATCCCCACAATCTGGGCGCGAACCTTGAATGCCCCCACCCCCAGCGCCCCTCCTTGGCAGCGCTAAAACCAACTCCTCGCATGAGACATCCTCACAAGATGCTGAGAAAGCCAGAGTCTGTGTATGCGAGTGAGTCTGAGTCAGATTGACCCTGAATGTGCGAATCTGAACATGAGCGAGTCGGAAATGGGGTGAGCCTGGGTATGAGTGAGTCTGGGTATGAGTGCGCTTGAGTATGAGTGAGGAACGGGTGCCCCCGTGAGCGACTTCCATCTGGATCCCGCGCCGCCTGGCGCTCCTCCTGCTCAGGATTGGCGATGCTGGGAAATCGCAGGTGTGAGGGGCACGGGAGCGGCCTGTTTCCAGGATCGGCATCGGTCTGGCCATCGCTGATGCGAAGGGCATGACAGTGGGCGCTCGTGGGAGAGATCCCAGCCTGGTCGCGAATCCTGGAGTGTCCCCACCCCTGGCAAACTGAGAAATCCTCACCATCTGCTCCAGGAGCAGAGGATGTTGGGCATGCAATCGGGCAAACCGCATGAATCATCCCAACAATCTGGGCACGAATCCTAGTATGGTCTCACCCATGGCGCCCCCTCTTGAAAATGCTGAATTCCAACGTCTCGCCTGAGACATGCTCAGAATCAGCTCCGGAAGCACTGGATATTGCGGCCCGAGCAAGGCAAACCACCCGAAACATCCCCACAATCTGACCAAGAATGCTGGAGAGTCCCCACTCCTGGCGCCTCTCCCTGAGGAGTGCAAACCAGCGCCTAGCATAAGACATCCTCACAATCTGCTCCGAAAGCAGACGATGTCAAGGTCAGAACCAGGCAAACACCCTGAGACCTCCCCACAATCTGGGCGCGAATGCTGGAGTCCCCACCCCTGGCGCCCCTCCTTGGGAGCGCTGAAACCAGCGCCTCGCCTGAGACATCCTCAGAATCAGCTCCGAATGCAAACGGTGCTGGGCATGCAAGCAAGCAAACCACCTGAGACATGCAACTGGGCGAGAATGCTAGAGAGTCCCCACACCTGGCGCTCACCCCCCCTCAGGAATGCTGAAACCAGCGCCTAGCCTCAGACATCCTCAGGCTCTGTTCCGAAAGCAGAAGGCGTGGGGCATGCAAACAAGCAAACCGCTTGAGACATCCCCACAGTGTGGGCGCGAATCCTGAAGTGTCCCCACTCCTTGCGCCCCCTCCTTGGGGTGCCCAAGTGCTACGCACGCTATATCGCGGTGAGCATTGAACAACCAATCAGTACGAGTAAGCCTGACTCTGACTATGAATGGAGTACGAGTGTGAGTTAGTCTGAGTGTACTGAGTCTGAGTCAAAATGCGCTTGCGTCTGAGTGAGAGTGAGTCTGAGTGTACTGAGTCTGAGTCTGAATGTGAGCGAGTCTGAATGAGTGAGTCTGAGCGTGAATGATTCTGACTGTGAGTGACTCTGAGTATGACTCTGAATATGACTGCGTACTAGTGAGTGCGTGTGTTAGTGAATCGATCTGGTTAAGGAAGAGGAGGAGGTAAGGAGGAGAAGGAGGGTTTGTCCTCGGAGCCGTCTAAGCAATAACAATAGCCCCATTGTAGGACATGGGGAATCAACAGCCCCACCTTAGGAGACAGGGGATACCAATAACTCCATCTTAGGTTATGGGGGGAAATGCCGCATCAAAATCCGGTGTAAGAACACCATACGCAGAAAGGATGGGACAGCTTCAGGACAGAGTCACGTGGAGAGGAACGCAATACTCATCATAATGTGTTTGTAGAGCGCAGACAGGAGGAGGACCAGTGCAAACCCAAGACGCATCAACGATGTTGCAACACACGCTCCATTCACGCTCCTTCTTCAACAAGTCCCTACCAGCATCGATTGTCACTGCGGGGAGTGACCCATCAGAAGACAACCGTCTGAGAATCCCAAGTCGTACCCAAACACCGTTCATGTGAACTCAACGCCGCGGATTAACATGACTGTTGCGCCGGCAATCCTATTTCATACCAGAGCACCGTTCCTAGGACTTCAAACAATGCAAACTCTTTTTGTTCCGCCAACATGTCGTCGAGATGCGAAGAGTGTAGCAGGAATGGGACGGAATGAACACCGCTTGGGTAACCCCAAGCGGGTGGTCGCGTCCTACCTATCAAAAGTACAATACGAAGTCAACGATTTTCTCGTCAAGATGGCATTCCTAAATCGCACGGGAACGCCATTTCTGGGACTCATACGAACCCTCAAACTTGCTGACAACGTCCCAGAGGGTGGCACTAAGGCACGAGCCACATGTGGAAAAGGACCCGCCCTCCATCCACGAAGCTGCCGCAAGCTTGTGGAACGAAGGTGCGAGGCGCTGCGCCACACTCGGAGGGACAAAAACTGCCATCCATCCTTGCAGTTGCTGCAGACTGTTGTGCCGCATGCGCGCGGTGCTCGAGCGGGCGCCACGACCTGACGAGGACTCGCCCGCCGCCCGCGAAAGGCGCGTCGAGAACGGCCCGCCCTCCGTCCGCGGAACGGCCGCAGTCCTCGAGCCTCGAGCAGAACGCCCAGCCCACCCTACCGACATGTCTGCGGGTGCGCCACGAAGGGTTGCTCATAAGGGCAAAAAAAGGAGGAGGAGGAGACAATAACAAGGAGGAGGAGGAGGAGGAGACAATAACAAGGAGGAGTAGGGGAGAACGGCGGCGGCGGCGGAACGACATCCGGCCGAGTGCCTCCACGACGACACGGCTCACCACTCTGGCAGGGTGGTGCCATGTGCGACCAGCCGTGCGCTGCATGAGCGAGTGAAACACGGCCCCCCCGGGAGGCTCGTCCACCGCACCTCGAGGCTCCTCCGTCCCACCTCGCCCACCAGCCCTGCGCCCGTGCCCGCCGCGGGCGGCGCGGGGCGGGGGCCACCCGTCGACGACGACGGCCGAGTGGCTCGAGCCGCAGGCAGCCGACGACGCGCCCTGCGCGCGCGGGCCGCGCCGCCCGGGACGAGCCCATCGGCATCCTGACCGTCGTCGGCGTCGTCGTCGTCCTCGTCGTCGTCGTCGTCGTCGTCGTCGGCGTCTTCCCCACCCTACGTCTTGTCTTCCCTCCAGCTCCTCCTCCTCCTCCTCCTCCTCCTCCTCCTCCTCTTCCTCCTCCTCCTCCTCCTCTTCCTCCTGTTCTCCTCCGCCCCCTCGGTGGACGTGGGAATCTGGAGGTCCGAAAACCTAAACTCCAAAACTTAGCGCTTCAAGCTCTGGATTCCAGGGCCGGTGGCCTCCCGTCCTCGTCCTCCTCCTCCTCCTGCGCCTCCTCCCCCGTCCTCGTCCTTCCTCCTCCTGGACCTGGTCCTTCGGAATCCTCCACCTCCTCCTCCTCCTCGCTTCCTCCTCCTCCTCCCCCTCATCCTCCCCCTCATCCTCCTGGGGGGTGGGAGGGGCAGAATGGGGGAGGAAACGAGGAAGAGACGTGAGGAAGGGCCGAGAGGAGGGGAGGAGAGGAGGAAAGGCGGCGAAGAGAGCAGAGGAGCAGAGGAATGCAGAGGATAGAATTGAGAGAAGAGGAGGGATGAGAGGAGAGGAGAAGAGGATAATAGGAGAGGGCACTGAGGGAGGATATGAGAAAGTGAGAGGAGAACAGAGGACAGGAGAAGAGGACAGGAGCAGAGGAGGGCACAGGAGGAGAGGAGAGGAGGAAAAGAGAGGGGAGGAGAAAAAGGAAGGAGGTGAGGAGCAGACGAGGAGAGGGGGGAGAGGAGGAGAGGAGAGCAGAGTAGGAGAGGAAGGGAGAGGATGAGAGGAGGAACAGAGGAGGAGAGAGGAGAAGAGAGGAGACGAAAAGAGGAGAGGAGAGGAAGAGAGGGCAGTAGCAGTGGATGGGGGAAAATGAAAGGAGAGGAGAAGACTGGAGCAAAGGACGCGAAGAGAGGAGAACAGAGGAGGAGGTCAGCTCTGACCCGCGCACAACGGATTAATCCAACAACTTTTCTTTTCGCAGGATCGTACGGACCGCTGCCAACAAAACGCACCCCCATTGCACGGGGAACGCTTCGCCTGGAAGGCCGCGACCCACATCCGCCGCGGCGCGTCGCCAACGACCCAGAAAACGAAGCCCGACGCTGCTTCCTCGCGCTCCCCCATCGTTCCTTTCCCCTCCCCGGGGCTCGCCCCCCGTTTCTCGCCCCTTGCGCCCCCCCCCCCTCCTCCATCCCCGCCCGGAAGCCCGCCTCATCCCGCTTCGCAGTCGGGCCCCCCGCTTCGCCCTCCACCTTCCCGGCACGGCGCGGCGGGGTCGAATCGACGTCGGCAGCGCGCTGGGTCGAATCCATGGGCTCGTTGCCAGCTGGCGCCGCCGCCGATTTTGGCCACCGCCGAGAGGCGCAAGTCGAAAAAGCCCTCGCCGCACGCCCCAACCCCTCCCCCTGGCCAAGCCGAAAACGGCAATGCGCGGCGACTCTCGCGCGGCGCCTGGAGGCGGCGGGAATCCAGAGACTCCGCGGACGGCGCGGAATCGCGCAGCGATCGAGAGGGGGAACCCCGCTAGACGACCCGCCCAGGCCAGCGGCGGGCGGCGGGACACCGCGCGGGAACGCACGGGGCAGAACTGCGCGGGCGACGCGCGCGGGGGAACCGCGCCGCCGGCAGAGACATCTCCGACCCCGAGGACGGCAAAACCAAGCGACGCGCGCGCGACACACGGGGCTGGCGGGCGCCCACGGGCCCCGGGCCGGCGGGACTCGCGAGGCGGGGGCCCCCCGCCCCCCCCCCACTCCCTCGGGCCACCGGCGGGCGCGCGGCGACTGCGGGCCAAGGCGCGCGGCGGACTTGCGAAGACGACGCGCGCGGGGCAAGGCGTGGCGCCTAGTGGAAGCTGGCCGGACCGCACACGGCAAAACGCGGCGACGCCACGCGTCGCGCCTGGGGCTCGCGAAGAGCCGCAGGCTCGCGCCTGCGTCTGGCGGACTTCGCGAAGCGACGGCGGGGGGCCCCCCGCCAAGCCACTCGGTCGGGCCAGCGGCAGGCGCGCCGAGACAGATCCCGATCGCGCCGAATCTGCGCGGGGTCCGAGGGAGGCCGCTGGAGGAGGCGCGCGCGGTCCCATGCCCGCGTACCAGCTGGGAGCGTCGCTGGAAAAAATCCGAAGCTCATCTTATTTTCCTGTGCACAACAATCGCACATAACAACATGTAAACACATTGGATGAGTTGTGTTGGATGAGCTGTTCCCAATCATCCTGTGGTGTTGGGTCCTCGTTTTGAAGAGACAGCGCCCCGCGTATATCCTCCTCTCCTCCTCCTCCTCCGACTCCTCCTCCTCCTCCTCCTGCTCCTCCTGCTCCTCTCCTCCTCCTCCTCCTCCTCCTCCTCCTCCTCCTCCTCCCCCTCCCCCTTTCCATCCGCCTCGTCATCGTCATCGTCAGCGTCATCATCGTCATCATCATCATCATCATCATCATCATCATCATCACCACCACCATCATCATCATCATCATCATCATCATCATCATCATCATCATGAGCAGCAGCAGCATCATCATCATCATCACCATCATCATCATCAACATCATCATCATCATCCTCACCATCACCATCACCACCATCATCATCATCATCATCGTCATCATCAACATCACCATCATCACCATCACCATCACCATCACCATCACCATCACCATCACCATCACATCATCATCATCATCATCATCATCATCATCATCACCATCATCATCATCATCATCAATCATCAGCATCATCATCATCAGCATCGCCATCATCATCATCATCATCATCATCATCATCATCATCATCATCATCATCATCATCATCATCATCATCATCATCATCATCATCATCATCATCCACATCATCATGAGCATCGCCATCGCCATCGTCAGCGCCGCGCCCCTCACACGGTTCGTGGCCCCATGGGGAGCTCCACCCAAGGCCCCAGCGGCAGGGTGCACATCAGGGGACCGCCACCCGTTTTGGCGCACCCCTCACATTGTTCGTGGTCCTGTAGGGAGCTCCACCGAAGGCCCCACTGGCAGGGTGCACATGGCGGCGCCGCCCCATTTGGGCGCACCCCTTACACGGTTCGTGGCCCCATAGGGAGCTCCACCGAAGGCCCCACTGGTAGGGTGCACATGGCGGCGCTGCCCTATTTCGGCGCACCCCTCACACGGTTCGTGGCCGCATAGGGAGCTCCACCGAAGGCCCCACAGGGTGCACATGGCGGCGCCGCACCCATTTCGGCACCCCCTCACACGGTTCGTAGCCCCATAGTGAGCTCCACCGAAGGTCCAACTGGAAGGGTGCAAAATGGCGGCGCCGCACCCATTTCGGCACACCCCCTCACACGGTTCGTGGTCCCATAAGGAACTCCACCGAAGGCCCCAGTGGCAGGGTCCATATGGCGGCGCCGCCCTTGATTGGCGCAACCCTCACACGGTTCGTGGCCCCATAAGGAGCTCCACTGGAGGCCCCAGTGGCAAGGTCCGCATGGCGGCGCCGCACCCATTTCGGCACACCCCTCACACGGTTCGTGGCCCCATAAGGAGCTCCACCCAAGGCCCCAGCGGCAGGGTGCACATGGCGGCGCCGCCCTTTTTTGGCGCACGCTTCACACGGTACGTGGCCACAGAGAGCTGCACCGACGGCTCCAGTGGCAGGGTGCACATGGCGGCGCCGCCCCAATTCGGCACACCCCTCACACGGTTTGTGGCCCCATAGGGGGCTCCACCGAAGGCCCCACTGGCACGGTGCACATGGCGGCGCCGCCCTTTTTTGGCGTTACCCTCACACGGTTCGTGGCCCCACCGAAGGCCCCAGTGGCAAGGTCCGCATGGCGGGGCCGCCCTTTTTTGGCGAAACACTCACACGGTTCGCGGCCCCATAGGGAGAGCTCCACCGGAGGCCCCAGTGGCAAGGTCCGCCTGGTAGCGCCGCCCCATTTTGGGGCACCACTCGCACGGTCCGTGGCCCGAAAAGGAATCCACCGACGGCCCCAGTGGCAGGTCCACATGGCGGCGCCGCCCCATTTTGGCGCACGCCTCACACCGTTCGAAGCCTCATATGGGAGCTCCACCGGCCCCGATGGTAGGGTCCGCATGGCGGCGCCGCCCCATTTCGGCGCACCCCTCACACGGTTCGTGGCCCCAGAGGGAAGTCCACCAAAGGCCGAGGCGGGAGCGTCCGCATGGCACGGGCCGCGCACGGGGCTCAGGCGAAACCAAGAAGACTCCCCGCTCGCCCGCATCAGCTTTTCTCCGCATCTTTCACGCCGCAGCCATTTTTGCTGCCCCCCCTCCGTCGTTTCCTTTTCCTCGCGGTACTCGCAGCAGCATATGGTTGGGTCCTTCGTCAGGCTAATCCCACCAGCCTTCTGGGCGTAGGTGGTTTAGGGCGGCTCGTCTTCCAACCCCTTGCTTCCCCTTCGGGAAGGGAAGCCAAAATCATGGGTGTTACTAGGATTTCAGCCCATGTTGGCCTCTTGGGGAAGCGAAGTTAATTAAGGGACCCCCCGGCGTTGATCGACGTCCTCCAAGACGGCCCCAAGAGGCGCCCAGGAAGCCCCTTAAGAGGCCCCAAGATAACCCCAAGATGGTTCCAAGATGGCCCCAAGAGGCCCCCAGGAGGACCCGATGAGGCCCTCAAGAGGACCCCAAACGGCCCCAAGAGACCCCCCCGAGGCACCCAAGACGCCCGAGAGCCCCCAGGACCGCCGAGGGATCCCCAAGACGTCCCAAGAGGCCTTCAAAAAACACGCCCAATAACTATCCCAAGAGGCGCTGAAGGGCATCCAAGATACCTCTGGCCCTTTTGATTGCGCTCCTCATCCTGCTCCTCCTTACTCCTCATTACCCTTATTTTCTTCATCCTCCTCCTCCACATCATCATTGGCACCATCATATTAATACTCGTCCTCCAATCCCATCATCATCGATTGAGCATCCTCCATATCCTCCTCCCTTCTTCGCTCGG